CGGAAATTCAAATGTACAGTAGAATTTTTGATATAGTTCAAACTCCTCCTTGTGTCTTAAGACTGTGAAAAGACGTAGAGGTCCTGATCTGTAATTCACCTTAAGCTTAATAATGTAAAACACTAGTTAATACATCGCCGAGCGAAGTGCCATATCCTAAACTTCATATAAATTAGCTAGTAACAACATTTCTGCAAAATATTAAAGGCACAACCCAGGCAGAGGTCGTGTGAACGCTTCTCTTCGGTCTGTAGTATAGACCCCTAGAGGACAATCACAAATGTGGCGTTCCGTGCACGGAAACCAACCGACAAGAGCGCTTGGGCCTTGCAAAGTAAGCTGCTGAAGCTGCAGATTTTTTTTCTCTTATCAGGCTGTTGTCTGGCTCTCTCATCTGTAGCGCTCTCTCGCCTCATACTCTCCTCTCCGCGCTTAGTCTCTCATTCCCTTAGCACAGCCGATTAGGAAGGTGAGTGAGCCCTTAACCTAAGCGTTTTTCGACGGATTCTTTTCCTTTTTTCTTTACTGCCGGCCCACTTTCCACCAATACATTCGCATTCGTGTGCAAGAGCCACACCAATGTGATCCTGGGGCATGCCTTTAAACATAGGCGTAACGGAGCTTGTTTATAATTAGTGATATGTTGAAAATGTTTCGAACAAGTAAGGATTTTAGGGTGGCACCCACCATTGGGTGCCATTGTCCCACGCGACGGTCATAGTGGCACCCACCGGTGGGTGCCATTGTCGCCAAAGGGTTAAAGCACTTGCAGCTGCCACATTTGTGCTGCCTTATCCCCTTTATTTTGTAACGGCCTTCATATCCGCTAATCAAATCCACTCGTCGATATGATAAATACAATACTGCATATATACTGTTTGCGATATCTGCATACTTATAAGCCTTCTATGAGTTACACAAAACCTTGACAATTCTGTCCGCTCGCCGCACCGCACATGAGAACCCACGACCTACATACGTCTTTTTGTCTTCGTTCTTACAAGAAAGGTCGTTCAGGGTGTGCCAAGCTTTTTCAAAATGGTTTCTTGCATGACATTGGGGCACATATGGGGACCACAGAAGCATGGTTCATTTTTCCTGAACGGCCCTCTGAATACCAGAAAAGGGGTCCCTAGTTCGATTCCTCGTGGTGACAAATTTTTGCATTTCGAGTTGACGTTTCCAAAATTCGCGCAAAATGGAGTTAGCATGAATAATTAGTACCATATTCATGATTAGGACCGTCAGTAACCCTTACAAATAGACTTTGATTGAAAAACTGGTGAAAAAGGTGTGACTAGGGACCCCCTTTTCTGGTATTCAGAGGGCCGTTCAGGAAAAATTAACCATGGTTCTGTGGTTCCCGCATGTGCCCCTATATCATGCAAAAGACCGTTTTGAAAAAAGCTTGGCACACCCTGAAAGACCTTCCTTGTTAGCCGAACTGCCATGCTCGGCGTTGCAGCAACACATGACTGCGCATTAGATACTTACAGAATCTTGCCGCCTGTAGGTCTTTAGGGTCTTTCATTAAACGTACTTATTGCTTGCTTCGCTTGAGATTTGTCCTCGCTGTTTTCGAGTTCTGTCACAGAAATCGCTTGTTGTTTCTCCCAGCGTTCTAGAGCATCCGATATCCCTGTAAACATCGATTCATAGCACACTCACATGTTTACTGCTTGAGAAAAATAGTAATTACCGTAATCTGTAAGTTTGATCATCCAGTTTCTGTCTATTAGACAAGACCACGTTGAGAGAGCTCCGTGATACCCGATACTCGACGAGTGAAGGTACTCCAGTCCTGCGAGTATGTCGCGAATGAATGCGCCGTGAAACTTCTGATCCAACGCTATGTTGTCGTTGTATATAATATCCTGCAGGCTTCCTCTGAAAATGTAAGTTCTCTTTCTAGAAGAAACCTATGTGAAACAACTCCTGTATATGTATATGTATGTGTGTACTACGTATTTGCAGATAGAAAAACCTGGACGAACAGAAGTCTTTCGACTAATTGAAGCTGTGACTAAACGGTGCAGCCGATTTACGACTCGTGAAGTCAGAACTGTGGCTGCTGCGAGCCGAACTCAAGATCTCTTTCAAGAATCCCTTTTCATTGAATTATGAACTGCTAATGTAATGTTCAAGCGCTGTCAGACGGTAACCGATGGACTAAATCTACCGAATAGGTGAATGGAGTAGCACCACTCATCCTATATCGATAACTTCTGGCGAGACCGCTTCGGAACTTGCGATCGCCGTCACCATGTCAAACTTTTCCGCGCTTTGGGAGTTTCCGTCGGATTGTGACAGCGAAGTTCTGTAGTCGAAAAAGTCATGGTATATCCGACAGCAAAACAGTTTGATAGAGAGCACACTTTGAGGATTCTAGCAACAACAGGGCGAAACCTATTCCTCGCACTGGTCAGCTCTTGGCTCTGGAGAGACACCATAGGACCTCGCTTACGATTGTCGAGGAAATCCAGCTAGCAGCGACATTCTTGATAAGATCCCCTTGCAGAGATGTGCATATACTGTTCCTTGACGTTTCGTACGAAGTGAAGCACATTGCGAAGGAACGCTTAGCGGTATCTCCTGCGTATCTAGGGAATATGTTGGAATACCTTGACTTCCTCAAATGCAGCACAGATACTGACGACATCGGGTATCGAAATATGGCGTTTTAAGAACCACAAAGAGGCGTTGGCTCGCGGGTATTTTCAGTCAATTTGAGGCATTGTTACTTCACCTTATAAGATCACGGAAGGCGTCCGGGAATCCTCTTCACCATCCCTCTGCTCTACTAGTCCTCTTAAGAAAATTATGAACAAATGGAAGTGGTTAAGCCCTTATTCGTCACTTCCGTTGAGTATGGGTTCAAAAAGCGAAGGACGCCTTACCAACATTTTACCAGCCGATCATCGGTTTGTAAAATTGAAAAGAATACCCAGAAGGACGTTCAACACACCTTGAAGCTGCCTCACAACTGCTCGGCTAGAGGACTGTCTCATTCTCACCTTTTTTGCAGACTGTTCAGTTGGCTATAAACGCTCCTTGGCTCAGGATCAGGTCAACCCTATCGTTGTTACTTTCGAAAAAAATTTTACGACCCCCTCTCCCCAAAGGTGGATTTGGTACGACCCCCTTTTCGACACCTCGACCACCATCATCCACCATATTCCTTATTCTGATATCACTCAACCCACCAAACCCCGCCCACTTTTTCCTCCAAAAATGCCGTCGAGCGGGGGGGGGGTATATACGCACGCTGAAACGGCAAATTTTTATCCTGCGCGCCCTCCACTCGCCCAGCCTACTACCCACGAAATCTTAGTTTCACCTCAATCCCACACGTGATTTCGAGCGACTAAAGTGGGTACGACCCCCCCCCGTTGGTACTTGTACCAACGTAGGGTTGACCCTGCTTCTGGAAGCCCCGGCCTTTTGTGCTAATTTTTAAGCACTTCACTCCTCTCCATGGCGACGAGGCAAGGAATGATTCTTCGATCGTTCCGTTCAGCGGAAGAATATTAACAACGTTGACGACCCGTTACTGTGCGTGTAGCTTACTTTTTTCGTATTCTCTCAGTAGAAGGGCCTAATCCTTTAGCGTTTTCATTATTATTAATGAAAATTGTTTTTTCTGATACAACTACGTACATGGATCGTTATGGGACGAGGAAAACCCAAATAAGTTAGGGAAACTTAGTCTGCTCCATGCTCCTTTGTGCTCCACGTGTGGTATGATGTCATACCACGTCTGCTCCATGGTATGACATCATACCGCACGGTCGTCAATGTGTTAATTCATGAGAGAAAGCGCTCTAAAAGATTTCAGATACCTCCCATTCAATCATAATAGGATTCCATACTCTCTATAGCATACCATAATAGAACATTTAGCAAAATTTCTTATTGTGACCATCTGACTACTGCTCGCTTTAAAAGTCGATATATATGAATTGTCTTTACAACTCACAAATAGGAATATGTACTAACCTTGAGCAGAATTTCCAAACCACGAGCACTTCTTCTTTTTCATTGAATGCAACACCAAGAAAAGGATTGATGTTGTCGTGTACAGCTTGTTTCATCTGAAATCTAAGATTTGTGGAAACAATAGTGCAGCATGATGACATAGTATTCAGACTCGCATCACATTATTCGGTGAACCCCATCAGAAAAAGGTAAGTCCCACATGACCTGGGAGCAGAGGGCCGTAATGCGTTTCCAATAAACTCCCACAATTCTGCACTTTTCTTAAAGCTATACTACCAAACAAGTGTACTTATTCGCAAGTCGCCACATATTATGAAGAGCCCGTCAGCACCCAATTTGTGGTTGTTGTGACTATTACATTGGTTGGGGAAGAGAACTGAGTGTTTGGAAGGGAAACTCTGACTTCAAGGGTGAAAACTCGAGAGGTTTATGTGTGCAATAGAATTTGTGCTACAAACCGCCTTTACGTCTGAAGACTAGGAGAAGACGGAGAAGTCCTGACCAGTTATCAATCTTTAGTCTAATAATGCAAAAACCCAGTTATAACGCCGCTGAGCTAAATGGCGCACACTGAAGTTTCGTGTGAATTACCTCCCAACCAATACTGCTGTTAGCTATGCTATATATAGATGTAATGAAGTTTGCTAGTAACTACTAGAAAGCTAAAAATATTTTATTGTCAAAGAAAAAATGTTAGTGGTACATAACCACTGGTGCCGTTCCCACCGGGCCGGGTGCCAGACCGGAGGTGCCGTTGTCGCTCAAGAGTTAATGGACTAATGAATTGTTTCATATCTTTGCCTCCCATATGGATGTTATTTCTTGAGAATTTCTATCTCTTGTTTGTTCGAATGTGTTGTTTTATGGCACACCTCAGGATCGAGCCGGGGTGTTCAGAGGCAGAATTTACGATGAAAGAGTAACCTATTTCAAATTAGGTTTAGGATGTTGAAGAGTACAAGAAAGAAGGAAAAACCATTAGATCCGGCCCAGAACCAAAAACATGAGCCCCCTTCCTTGCCCGTTGATTTCCGCGTGGATGCGACTCTCATCTTTGTGCCTTCTTCAATGTTAACGGCTCTCTCTCTGCTATCTTCACTCGCCGCAAATAGACCTGTGGCGAGTGGTTAGATAGTTGGTGGGCGTACCGCGCCAACCGCATCAAGAGTGAGCCATGTCAGATCACCGAGGTCAAATCTTTCGCTGCCAATTGTGCATCAGTCCTCACTTCAAGAGGTCCGCCTGCCTTCCCACTAGGCAATTTTCCTCTTCTTCGACCTTCGATCTTATCGTGGAATCCTCCTTTCCTCGAATATGAAAGTATTGGTGCAAGGTGGATCGGTAAAGAAAAAGTGAAAAGAAACCACTGACAACTCCGACAATTGCCTTTGAGTGTAGAGGGCTCTGAGAGAGAAACAACGAGAAACAAGCGATGCTGAAGGTTGTTTAGAGGTGAAAGAAACTGTGAGAAGAGAACATGGATACGAGTAAGAGAGATATCGCCTATGACGTCAATCATTTCGGGATGAAACCCTGTGCGCCGACCTGGAACCATGTGAAACATAACGCATTAGGGTTTTCGCTTGGCGATTTCGTGCTGTGAGGCCGGTACAACCTGTACGCTTGCCGGTCCCTCAACCTTTCTCGTGCTGGGCTTGACTTCTTCGAGCTAATCTAGGTCATGCCATAAGTAAGTTATTATAATATCATATATACTATTTCACTTTCAAGCTGTCAACCGTTATATCTCCGTGAATAAGTTACTCATGAAAGACATGTGTGCAAAAGGGCTCATTAACACGTTGACGACCGCGCCCATTTTTCGCTGTCTGGCGTGTGGGACCGCGCGAGTGTGACATGGCATCATGTCAAACGGTCCCACGAGAACTCCTTTTTCTCAGGAAGTGTGTATTTGTTATTTTCTTGTGTGGTAGGTCTCCGATTATGCGATTTTGGCCATTTTAGCGATTCCTGTGATTTGATCATTATTCAAACATTTTTAGAAAAACTCGATAGCCCATCAACCGAAGCTTCTTTCCAGGGACCACGCCTTTTGTAACAATGCCTAAGTATGGCGCATACATCACGTAAATAAGTTACCTAAAATGTTTGAAAACCAGCTTAAAAAAGACTGTGACATGACATCATGTCACACGGTCCCACGTGGCCGAAAGAGTGTGGTATGACATCATACCACACGGTCGTCAACGTGTTAAAAGCGCAAATTTAATTATAACAATCTTCAGTTTTGTTGCTAAACTTGGCAGCTATCGCTGTTTGAAAGAAAATGTCTAGTTTGAACTCGTAGAAAATGTAGAGGTGAACCTACATTAGCGAGAAGAGTTTTATCAAGGCGAGTGAAAACGATCGGACGGCGTTGTGGATACCTAAAAGATGACCAAATATTAGGTTCAAGCACTAAATCCTGAGTGACGTGGAAAATATAACCATGTTGCCGGAGTTTCTAGCTTCCTAGCCTATACAAATTTATTCGCCTTGGTCGTCAAGCTTGCAACAGCATGCCACGTTTGCTTACTTGCGAGTATTTGTTAAGGTATAGCTGACAGCCTCGATTATTTCCCCTGCGTTAACAAGGAATATATGGAAAACAAAACCCGAGGCTCAAAAGTACTGTAGACATATGCTGCGATATTTGTGTGTAAAAAAAAGGAATAAGAATAGTGTAAAGGGAACTAGGCCTTTCGAAGAATGAAACTATGGCGCTTTTACGGTGAAGGGCCTCAGCGGAGTAGCCTTTCTCATCATGACTCACCCCTTCGTGCAAAACCCGGCCCATCAAGGAATGAGTGATAATAGCGGGTGCTCTATGCTAATGCTATTGATACGCTCGATTTTGATCTTGAGAAAGCATTTCAATCCAAGAGGTCATATTCTCTACTTACTTATCTAAAGCTGCATCAGCTACCGCTGATCAATGTCGAAAGCTAGTATGTATTTATGTTGCCACAACCGCCTGAAACCCGTTCTGGTTGCGAAGCTCACCTTTCAGGAAAGGTCAGAAGGTCAACCCCGTCAATACAATGAACTGTAAACCTTTGCACTTGGACTAGAACATTGATCCTATTTACAGCCTCCAGATCTACTAAAGGATTGTGTGAACGGAGTTTTGAAGTGCAGAAGGGCAACAGTAGTGGACTGGCCTTTTTGTGCAAATGTACAGCCTCATAGAGTGGCATTTTCTGTTTGAAAACTTCACGGAGTTGCCAGCTCATGAAGCACTCATAAATTATAGGTATACTCGTATGGTTCATGAACTATGACGATGAGTTCGGAACGTTATTTGCAACTCATGCCTGCTGTTTACGGGTTTTGCGGTATTTATTTGAACATTCCTTATCAAACTTACTTGTGATATATAACATGAGTGTTAGTACCGACAATGGCGTGATTTCTGGACCCGTAGTTTGCGCTGCTCATTTTGGTGCGTGTGCTTCCGAGCGAGAGCTGAAACATCATCGTTATGACATTGCTACGACCACCAGCCGCTGGCCGAGGCAACTTCCTAGCTGAGTCCTAGTCAAGACCTATTTTTTTTTTGTAGAATTTCCATATACTAAAGGCTGAGTTGTACAAATCCACGGAAAAATAAGCATTGTTGTCAAGCTATTATATCAACAACTACTAAGTCAGGTTGTCGCATCCGTCCCCAAATGACCCGTGAACGTGAGCTTCTGTGTTTGTGACATAACCCTACACCGCATAAGACAGGCTTTCCTGTTTCCAAGCTCACAGCGACTCCTTGTTGCGAGAATTCCATAGATTTATAGTCGAAAAGTATTAGCTATCATTTTCGAGATTGATTGTTGATTGTTGATTAATAGGAGTTTCTTCTCGAGGAACTGAGCTAAAGAGGGGAGCAAATAGATATCCCTTGGCGCAAAGCCAGGGCTGTGAAGAGGAAGCGAAAGAAATTTTGTCCGTCTCCAATTTTCATGAACCTTCCTTACAATGTGGGATCGTACGCTTCCAGAGAAATGCAGACTTTGCATTGTTCCTATCATCTTGAACCGTTTGCGACCAGTACCGTCATTAACAATGACATTAGCGGTAAGAGTTGCCAATGCGCTACTCCTCTCGTATCCATCCACAAAATCGGAAGGACATGACTTTAGCGAGGTCGACGTTTGACGGTTAGAACTTCCAAATCGCTATAGCTAGACTACTGTCGCTTGTATGATTGGTTAGTACACACATCTGCTATGTATATAGCCAAACGAAGCAAATAATTTCTGGTGATTCTGAGAGGTTCTGGATAAAAAACTGGGCGTGGGACCCCATATGCGGAGCTGGGACAAAGTGCTGGGACATATGAAGAAGAAACGAAAACATTAACCCTAACACGATCTGTTATCTGACATCCAACTAATGATGGATGTCAAATGACAGGTCCGTGTGGGTTAATGCTTGCTCGTCAAATCTCCTAGGTGATGTGGAGTGCCTTAGCGAAGTGCTGAAAAGCAATGCTCTGTCTATTGAGATCTCATCACAAAAGCCTACATAGAGCCTTGACACTGGAAGTCACGAGGTAGGCGGTGTGAGGGTCATCTTTTGATAAGCTAATCCTTTCCACAATAGACTGGAACAGCGATGCACCGTAGTCTGGGAGGAATGACCTCTTCCATGTTGATGGTACCTTTGCTCAGCCTAGCCTTCGGAAGACTCTGATAGGTAAGTCAGTCACAAAAAAATTGGGCACCAACATAGATTGGCTATGAATCGAAATCTCAAATGAGATTTGTTCAAGTTTCACAAAGCAAACAGATATTAGCAACAGCATTTGTTGGGCTTGTGTTTGCAATTTAAGGGCAAAGGTCGGGCTCAGGCACGCTAAGGAGTAATTCAAGTGCCTGGAAGGTTGTATGTGGGTAGCTGCACACATTGCAGCAACTTCCCACCTTGAAAAACCCCGTTAAGGCCCAGGGCGTTCGGTTTCAATCCAGGGCCCGCCTGGTCAATCCAGGACCGCCCACCTCCGGAAGTGGTGCGTGGCTGGCATAACGTGTGTGAACAGCTAGGTTGATTGCCGTATCAACCGATAGAACGACTGACATCTCCAGAAAACTTGTTTGTACGTGCCTCTTTCCCAAGCCAGCCTCCTTCACTGCTAGTGGGAAAGAGGGTTTTGTTAACGGCCTTGTCGACGGTTTTTCTCAGTTTTTTCTCCACTGTCGTTCCACTTCGCATCTCTATACTCAGTTTCAATCGCCATAATACCCCCTTATTGAGCCCGACTTTTGCCTTTAATGAATAATGAGATACCATGCTTTTGAGTTGGTTCCTCGTCTATAAACTGCATATCGTCGCGGTAAATGCGGAACGGCAACTTGTCGAGCGCTCTTTTTTCGCTGAAAACAAATGAGCGAATGAAAGCAACGAGGACGAAGTGTAGTACGTTCAACCTAACCGAAGCAAAAATAAATTAATGTCTTCATGGTGACCTACACAATTTTGTGAATGCCGTAGGTGCCGCAAACGACGAGGATCAGCAAAACAATGAGAACTATTCCTACAATAAATAAAGTGAAATCGCAGCGTTCTCCGCGGAATCCGCAGGTTGGCTCGTCCTTCGGCATACACGCCGGTCAACTGACGGCCAAAAATCACGCAATAGATCCGTGACCACCTGAAAAATTCAACAATGTTGATCTTTAGAAAAGCAGTTTTTGAATTTCGAGGATTTGTTGGGTAAAAATCGAGTGAAACATACGATATCGTAGCAACCACTTCTGCTTGTCACTCCATCACAGTTCGGAATCATTGTGGGCTCCATGTGAACCATCGATGATACCTAGAAAATTTCTGGATAAACTCATGATTTTTACGGCTGAATTTTGTTGTGATAATGAACGTCACGTGATTATGTACAAAAAGACTTTCTGCACCATTGAGTTTTCTGTCTGAAACATTTCAAGAAATGATAAATCCGACTTCCTTACTAATTCTACATGGTTTTAGCAACTACTCTACTACTCTAGTCTACTTTCATATGTTGTACTTTAGCAACGAAATCTAATTCTCTACCTGGTCGGAGTTCGGCGAAACGAAAAAGCCCCGATACAGCGGAGCTCTTTCAGCGCGATCGTCCATCGACACAATCCCTGATGCAATACCCGACGATCCTAGCATACCTGCAAAACTACTTCAAGCGTTTCGTACTGAAGAAGTACAGATATGAGTTCTCATGGAAGTTTTGATGAGACATGGTGTAGCTTAG